CTATCTATCTATCTATCTATCTATCTATCTATCTATCTATCTATCTATCTATCTATCTATCTATCTATCTATCTATCTCATCCACCATCTATCTGCCTGCCTGCCTGCCTATCTATCTATATCGTCCATCCATTCACCATCTATCTACCTGTCTGTCTTTCTATCTATATCATCTGCCATCCATCCATCCTCTACCTACCTACCGACCTACCTACCTACCGAATCTATCTATCTATATCATCCATCTATCATCTATCTATCCATCCTCTCTCTCTCTATTCTGTCTGTCTATCTATATCATCCATTCATCATCCATCATCCATCTATCGATCTATCTACCTACCCTACCTCATCTATCCATCCATCCATCCTGTCTCTCATTTGTCTGCCTGTCTCTATCCATCTATTTTGCCATTTTGACCACGTTCTAGGGACACCCCTTCCAGGCAGCAAAGCAGGACCGAAATCTACCGACTTATTGCACCTAACAGCCTTCCAGTGGCCGGGCTGCGTTCCCCAAAAGTGAGGGAGAAGCACCCCCAGCCTTGGGGCACTAAGTCAGGGGGCTTCTCTTAACCCCCTTTAAGCCGACAAGGTTCTCAGCATAACTTCATATCCCTAACCAGACTGGAGTATCCTCTTTTTACTCCGAATCGCACTTTATGCTGATTTAATCTAGCCAATTTGCTGTGGTTAAAGTCCACCAGGCTCTTGGCGACCTGCAGACTTCAACTCCCAGAATGCCTCAGCCCGCCAGCACAGCTCAGGCATTCTGGGAGTTGCCCTTGAATGAAACTACGCCGCCAAATAAGTCAAAGCAACCGCGAGAGGCCAAACGCATCGCAGACACAACCGAAAGCAAGCGAAAGGGGCTCACTTTGCTTTGGAGATGAATTTGTAGGTGTCGTTCCAGTAAGCCAGCAGATCCGTCGCCTCTTCGTCGTAAACGCGGATATTGTGGTATTCGAAAACTCCCGGGAAGAAATTATCGATCTCTCGAGTGACGTTCAGAATATACCGCACCCTGCACAGAAATGGGAGAGGTGGCATTGTTTGGGTGTTTACCTCCTGCCTTTATTGTTTAAACAAAGGATAGAATAAGAATAGAAATTAGAATAGAATAGAAATTAGAATAGAGATTAGAATAGAATAGAAATTAGAACAGAATAGAAATTAGAATAGAAATTGGAATAAAAATTAGAATAGAAATTAAAAAAGAAATTAGAATAGAAATTAGAATAGAATAGAAATTAGAATAGAATAGAAATCAGAACAGAATAGAAATTAGAATAGAATAGAAATTAGAATAGAAATTAGAATAGAATAGAAATTAGAATAGAAATTAGAATAGAATAGAAATCAGAATAGAAATTAGAATAGAATAGAAATTAGAATAGAATAGAAATTAGAATAGAATAGAAATTAGAACAGAAATTAGAATAGAATAGAAATTAGAACAGAAATTAGAATAGAATAGAAATTAGAATAGAATAGAAATCAGAATAGAAATTGGAATAGAATAGAAATTAGAATAGAATAGAAATTAGAATAGAATAGAAATTAGAACAGAAATTAGAATAGAATAGAAATTAGAACAGAATAGAAATTAGAATAGAATAGAAATTATATTCTAATACCCACCCCTGGGTAGGATACAAATGTTAAAAGAAAATTAAGCTTCCCCTCACACAGCCCAGACCCAGCGTACTCTTCAAGTAACATTCCCCCGTGTATAAACCCTGCTAACAGAATAGACTAGAATAACAGAGTTGGAAGGGACCTTGGAGGTCTTCTAGTCCAACCCCTGCTCAGGCAGAAAACCCTGCACCACTTCAGACAAAAGAGAAACACTATTAGACCTGATACTCCTAAATAAAACAAATAAACATCTAAATAAGCAAGCAAGGAAGGAAATAACTCAATAAACAAACTGTTGTGGTCCACCAGCAGCCTGCAGAGCTGGCCACAGAGTCGGACAGTGGGGAGGAACATGGCCCAGTCCTCGAGTCTGGGGAGGGCTCGGACGAGGGTCCTGCGTCCGACACAGAGATGGAGCCAGGGCCATTTGGGAGTCATGTGCTGACTCCGGAGCCTCCAGAATCTGACATCAGCGAGGCAGAGGAGCAGAGGGAGCCTGTTCCCAGCGCGCACATGCACAGAGCTGCCAGAAGGCAAGAACAGTTAGGACAAAAGGGCCGACTCGGGAATAAAGCTTGGAGATGATTGGCCCTCCCATAAGACATAAAGGAGGAGCAAAGGGACAGGAGCCCTTTGCAGGAAGCAACGTCATTCGTACTGGTCGGTTTGAAACCTGGAGCTCCGTGTTGACTTTGTGCTCCGTTTGGCCTCGCATAACTAATAGGCAATTTAGCCGTTGGCAGCATTTCAAGGGAGATAAAGGTGAGTGCTGATCAGCCTTATCTCGAAGGACTTTGGCAGACTTCCACGGGACGATTTATTTACAAACTGAGACTCATTACGGGCTGTGAACGACTATAATTCACAGCCGTTGAAATCAAGAAAAAAAACATGGTTTTGGGGACTAACGTGTGTCTGTTAGTGTCTCCAAAAGCCTTAATTCGAACACAAACTACCCCGACCCTTCCGCATCCTTGGGTGAGGTTGCTACGCTTCTGCTCCAGGGAGGGCTGAGCCCAAAGTTCCTCGAACGGAGACGGGCCTGTGAAAATATCTACGCCACTCCTCTCTGCAGATAACGGCCAACCGTTGCCGGGAGTCCATCACACTTCCCTACTTTTGTTTAACCTAGTTTTTCAGCCTGTGAACTTTTCCTGCAGGGAGTTTGGCAACAGTCAAGGATGAGATAAGCCGCGGTCTGCCTCTGCGCAGATACAATATAAATATAGAAGAGCTTTAGGAGTTTGGTAGTGGCTATTCGGTGTTTACAATATGCGTGGGTTTTGGGGGTGGGGCAGAGAGAAAGGAAGGCATATTGCGATGCAAAAGACCCAAAGTTGTGTGTTTTGTGTATTTTTGAGGCCGACTCACCCTCTGGTTTGCAAATCTTCCAAATTGGAGGCGTTCCATTCCGAACCCTGCACGAACGGGCAAGAAAAAAGCACAACACAACAGTCACACTAGAGCACAGCTGGTCATGCAAGTAATATTTTTCCCTGCCTAAAGCAGGGGGTTGGACTAGAAGACCTCCGTGGTCCCTTCCAACTCTTATTCTAGTTATGTTACTAATAATAGTAATAATTTTTTTAAAAAATGCCCAAATATGGTGATATCAGGTGCAAGGAATATTCAAAATTCCTGGCTCAAGAATCTTTGACCGATGTTGTCTACCGATTGGTCTAAGATACTGCGTGAAATAAGGGTTTATCAACTTTAGCAGTTTTGAGAGGTGTGTGGACTTTAATTCCCAGAATTCCCCGGTCCGCAAGAAATTCTGGGAGTTGAAGTCCACATGTTTTAAAGTTACTGAAGTTTAGAAAGATTGGCCTAAGCCAATCGTGTTCAACCCTGGTTACTTGGAGACTTGTGTGGACTTCAACTCCCAGAATTCCCCAGCCAGCCATGCTTGATGGGGAATTCTGGGAGTTGAAGTCCACAGGCCGTCAAGCAAGGGCCTTCAAACTTGGCAAGTTTAAGGCTTGTGGACTTCAACTCCCAGAATTCCTGAGCTAACATGACTGGAGGAGGAATTCTGGGAGTTGAAGTCCAAAAGTCTTAAAGCTGTTAAGTTTGAAGAGCCCTGCCTTAAACCATGCTGGCTAGGGAATTCTGGGAG